GAGATAATTAGGCTTTAAAATCCCAGCATTTTGGCTGGAGGGTCACTTTTTTTTGTCCTGTCTTATGTGATTATTGCCTTAAGTATTCAGATGGTTTTCTTGGGTATTTCAAAGAGAGATCCAACCACATTCATTCTTGGCAATCTACTTCTTTCAAGTTTTTCATATGCCGTTTTTTAATCCAACTCTCAAATTGAAAATCATCAGATGTTTTTAGAAATGGTTAAAAAAGTGTTTTGGATATTTGGGGAGCCTATTTTTTATGGAGACAGTCCACTACTCTGTTTTGTCTTTGGTCAAAAATGGAAAACAAAATGTTAAAAAAACCTGATACAACTACAGTGTGAATCCTAAACAAACTGATCACACCAAATAAACAATAAAAATGATTATACTGACTTCTTTATATTAAAAAACAAACAAAACAAAGGTTAAAGGTTTCTGATCCAAAAATCAAAAGTGTTTTCCCCTTCACAATCATATTCCACCCACAGGTGGTTTTCACTTTCACATTGTCTGTTTAAGACCTCTCCTCTTCTCAGGACCGTGTGGGCGTGTACAAACTGGCCTCGCTCTCGTTAGTTTTGTTGCACCACTTATTGCTGCTAAGATTTGTTTCAAACACTAACCACAGAAAGGCAGATAGGGAGGGAGAGACAGATGTTGAGGCGATGGAGTTAATTACTCAGCAACACCTACATCCTGTCCTTCACCCAGCAGATGATCTGCAGTCAGTGTTTGGAGTGCATGTGCCGAGGCACTTCAAAATTCTAATTACTGGGCTGGCCTCGGTTCATTGTATCCCACATGCTCAGGCCACAGCAAATTGGGCTTAGATTTCCAGATTTTTTTTCATCTTTTTGTATGACCTGAACTGACTCAAAATCCATTCCCATTTTTATTTTGTATGTGTACAACTCACCTCTAGTTTCTGGGCCTTGTCCCTGCTGAGGGGTTCCAGGGGAAAGCTGAGGTTGTTGGCCTCAGCCATTGAGCGCAGGTCAAAGTAAGTAGACACTGGACCGGGCCGTTGCATGTTGAACTGCAGCAGCTCCAGAAACTGACGCTGCCAGCTCACTTATCCTTTTGAGAGAGAGAGAGAGACAATGTGTGAGTTGAGAGGCAAACCCTCTGACAAGCTTTAAACAAATCTGATATTTAGCTTGGAATCAGACTTGGTTGAGACTGAAATAAGGTTAACAGTTAGGTTAGGTTAACAGATTGGTGAAATTGAATTCTCTCTCTACAAATAAAATCTGTATAGAGACACTGAAGAGGAGACACAGAGACTAGAGAGTGAGTGCTCAGGAGACCATCCTGGCAAATCCATCACCTCACACAGACGGTGGGTGTTATTTTCACATGCACAGCGCCAGTACACATACACCAAGTAAATCCCCAGCACACCCACCACCAAACCTAAAACATAAGCCTTTCCTCATCCTGAAAGCGAGTGATATCTTAGCAAAAATGGCTCGGAGCATTATGTATAAAAAAGGATATTAATCCCACATCCTGAAAATGCCATTCATCTTGCACACAGCTCTGTGATCTCTTCTGCAGCGCGCTGACAGACGCTTTCATCTGTTTGTCTTCAGTCTTGACCGATTCCTTCTGCATTGTAACCTGCATAAGAAGCACTACCCATCTCTTCTCCCTAGCCTTTGTTCCCCACCCACGCACATTTACAGGCATGCAGCAACAGACGAGCTAAATTTAGACTCCGCTGCAGCCAAACTCTGCCTAATAATGCTGCTTCTTTTTTATCTCGTCGTGGCACTCATTCAGTTATTCTCATCCATTTCTTTGTGTTTCTCCGCTCCTCACAATTCTTCCCAGAGTGCCCTGCAGTTATTTCAGTCACCCTTGAGTCTGTTGGGGGTGGAAAGGGGAATTCTGCAGGCTAGGTTCCTGAGCACGGATTTATAAAAGACTAAAATTGATCTTCAGGGGAAATCTCCGGTCAAGCACTGAGTCAGTGTCTGGTAAACTGCCATATGGGAGCACAGCAGAACTACATGCTGGGCTCCTCATATTGGAGTGAGTCCCAAACAGGTGGATTACAGTCACTGCTCTGTAAAATCTGAGCCCAAGGACAAGAATATACAGCCCCTGGTGCAGTACAGTGTGAATGCAGTGGAGGTCAGAGGTCGCGGCAGTGGCAACACGTCTGCAGCATCATGTTCCCCCTCAGAATAAGCCAGCCAAGATTCCTGTGGCTTTAAGACGGATGTGGTATATAGGACAGAGGGGTTGGTCCTCATGCTCAAGATCCCCTGCCTTACACTTGGCATTGTTTGTTTAATTTGTAATTGAAGATGATGTTGTCTTACGGTAATAAAGAAGAGGGAAAAATATTCAATCTAATGCTATTATCTGATATCTGAACCTTTTTAATCAAACCTGATCCAGTAAAAGCCAAGTATCTCTTGTTGTCAGCTTGTTTTAAACTAATAAACCAGCCTGTTATGGCCTATATGCATAAGTCTTGCTCTAAAAGGGAGACAACATCGAATTAAGTCACAATACTTTATCATAAGGCTGATGTATTTAAGTGAGCCAACCTACCGTACCGTGGACAAATGCAAGAGCCACAACAAAAGACAGTCACGGGGGTCAGACAAATTGGGTGGCTGCTCTAAGCATGTACAGACCACCATACATGTGACTCTCAACACCTCTTGAACCCAGTCTGACCCCACAAACACAGACTATTCTCAGCATGGAACGACCCTGAATGAGTGAAGATGGGTATGGTAGTAGTAGTAGGAATGGTGAATAACAATGGATGCCAAGTAAGGTCAACAGCCATGTTTTAAGTTCTACAGAGAGCTGAATTAATGGATTTATTTTTTTACAACATTTTCAACAAAAAAAAGACAAATATTCACTGAACAAATATGAACATTTGCTGGGTTTTCTTTGTTTTCTATGACAATGAAATAAATATTTTTGAGGGACTGTTCATCAAACTAATATGAAGATGCTTTAGACCGAACACTCTTTGGTTCTTTGCCTCACTGAATTCTTTTTTTTATATATTTAGCAACAACCAGAGCAACAATTTGAGAAAATATACTACAGTATGTGCTCCTGATGATTCTGCACCTCCCACAGAAGGACACTGGTTTCATTTTGAGAGAGCTGCTAGAACTATTTTCAATCATAAGATCACTGAAGTTTCCAAGGACAGGAAAATAAGTCAGGTGATTGGTGATGCCAGCTCCTTCCAGAATTTGGGTGGTAATAGGAGAAATAATGCATTGTCACAGTTTCCAACAATGCACCTGTTGTGCAGCACATTTCCGGCAAAGTCTGTCAGTCATAAAAACAGATATTCAGATATATCATATATTTTATCAGGACTTATAGGACTATTATTGGAGTGAGGTGCTCTGTGGTTTTTTAAAATGCTTGTATTGGATGCTTGGATTGAAAATATTTTAAAAATCATCTCTGCAAATGTCTTATGAGGAAGAAAGTGCATTCAACACATTTGTTAGACCTCAAGGATTCACACAATAGGTTTTGGTGAGTAACACTGAACCCAGATAATTATTGGCTCTCACACAAGCTTTGAACTCAAGTTATCAACTGTAACTGCCAATTTATTTATCTGTTTTTATGTTCTCAGTAGATGCAATTAAAATGAAGGATATTGGTTATTAACTGTGAGTAAAATTACATTTTCAGTGCAGTAATAATAGAACACATATCCTGCCCCTTCATAACACAGAAACATAATTATCTTGACAAATGCATGCTCAATAATTGTTGTAATGCAGGAGGAAATGGAACTGGTTAAAAATAAGACACTTCAGGAACAAAACAGTGTAAATTAGCCACATGTGTGTTAATAACCACTGGCTCCAGCTGCTAACAAGCATGGCTGAACTCACTCTATAGGCCTTTCTGTTATGTGTATTATCTTTCATATCAGTAAAATGCAATACATTGGCTGTGTGGCCAACAAACTCACATGTCCTCCACAGTGATATCCTTGAGAATTTGGCAGTAGTCGACGTTCCAGACCGCCTGGTCGTCCCAGACCTTAGATGCTAGGAGGATGGCTCCTAACACAATGCGCTTCCAGTTGGCAGGGCAAATGTTGATCTCAGCGTAGGTTAGGAGCCTCTCCAAATACACCTTGGACAAAGACATGAGTCGCATGTAAGATCCCTGTGGACTCAATATAATGAACACAATAATAAAACAACAACATAACAGAATCTTGTATTAATGTTTTATCCATAACTTATGTAATTAGCATGTCCTCACGTTTGTTTCAGTGTTTAATTAGCCTCTGCTCTCCCTGACTGCATTCATTTGCAGAGTTAGTTTGTTATTTTCCTGTTTTGTAACCTCCTGCCTTCTCCTCCTCCTCCAGGTAAAAGACACAATAACAAGATGTCAGAAGCTGATGAAATCCAGCTTCCCTGGAGCTCGCTCATTAAAATATATATGTGGATCGAAACACTCCATCGCTCTGCCTCCCTCTCCAATCCAATTTCTATCTTTCTCTCTTTCTCAGCAGCCAGAATTCCCACAGTCTACAGATCACAAAGCACACTGAGCCTGCAGGCACCTGTTCCTTACAAGTTAGAATACTTGTACAGAAGCGGATTCTTCTGATCCATTGATCATCACTTTGTTAGAAAGAGAGAATGCATTCTATTTGATTTTATAGTGGCTGTCAAGCATGAAAGCAGCAGTGATCTGCTGCATGGAGACAACTTCATGTCTAGGTTACTAATGGAAGCTACAATATACCTTTATAGTTTTCTCATAAGAGCTCATTTATCTCCCATTACACACTCCCAAATAATACAGTACATGTGCAGTTTTAAACAACCTCTCTCTGTAATAAGTACGCAAACATAAACATGTCATCTTCTTAGTTTTCACCTTTTTGTACATGTCTCGTTTTTCCAGCCTTTTTAAAATGTAGTTTTAGTGTTCAGTATGCATTTGGTAATTTTAATAGATATTTTACTTCAGTATACTTCAGTTTGTACCAGATATGGTCTAATACAACAACAAATGTTGTTTCTATTTTCCATAAATAACATTTACTGCTGACTCAACTGAATTTAGACCAGTAACAGAAGCTTTAAGCTTTGAAAACTGTCATTTCAGATGACAAGTCTGACAAAAAAAGTGGAATATACAGTGAATTCAAGTTATTATAATTCTGTCTGAATCTGCACAGTGGCAGAACTGTCAGCATTATGTGACTTAAAAACCTGAACAGAATTATAGAGGACTGCTGGAAAAGTAGACAGTCATCTGTTACATGATGATTATTTCCATTTAAGTACCAGACAAATAATCACACTTTGTGGTTCAGACAAATGAAGAGGCAGAGAGAAGAGAGATGTTGCATTTTTACCGTGTTTGACTTGACCACTAGCTCAGCTCAGGTGGATAATTGGACAAGTCATGTTGGGTTGGGCTTTGTGCCTACAGGCAATGCTAACCTATGTCTGTTCTGGCCCAGAGCTCGCCAAGACACCAAATATCTATACTCATCTGGAAACAGGCAGCAGCAACAGAACTGAAGAAAACCTGCCTGAAATGAGAGCCAGACCACATGCTGAGCAATATGAATGCAACAGCACTGACAGAAAACTATACAAACAAGCACAACATAGAATCCAGAGGCAGTGTAGTGTGTGGCAAACAGTAGCGTGTCTCCAACCAGATCGAATGATTTCATTTGTGATTCTTGGGGCGATGTCACAGATGAGGTTCGGTACCAGACACAGAAACTGGTCTCCGTGAAGCTCAAATATTCAGCTAACCTCAGACTCATTTCTGAAACAACATATTTTTATTTCACATTTCACATTTATTAATCATAACAATGGGAAGCCAAAGCATCAAGCACTTGTTTTTTAAGTTTGTGGTTCACTCGGTTAAATAGAGGAATCGTTTAGTGACCACATTATTGACTGGTGGTTGTTTGAACTACTATACACAGTTAGTCAGCATCCCAAGTTTAAACCTGTGGTGATTTAAACTAACCAGTAAAGCACATTTTGCTGGGATAATTGAGGGCTACTCAACTGGGCCAGTGTTAATAATATATAGCTACTGTCTTCCTGCTCTTCATGTATTATCTATAACCAGTCAGTGTTGGGGAAGCTACTTTGAAAGCATAGCTTTGCAAGCTACCAATTACTTCAGACTGGATGAAGTTGAACTACAGCAAAGCTACCCTAGGGAGAAGTTTGGTTAACTAAAGCTGCTTAGAAAAAGTAGTTCAAACTACTTTGGAAAGAAATGATCAAATGAACAGTGTACATGTGAGATGACATGAAAGCAAAACAGAATCCAATTGCTCAATTGATTCTATCCAATATAAAAGTGCCCACTAGTTCACAGGTCATACATAAACCAAAGAGTAAAATACGCCACTATTCATGGGGAAGTGCAAGCATAGCTCACAAGTGTTGATGGAGCTAGTCAGTGTCATGTATTTGCTGAGGTGTGACCATGGTGATTCTTCCTCATTTGGGAGGTTTATCTATGATGATGCTGTCGCTTTGTGAGCACTGAGCAACACCCGCCCTTTTGCAAATACACTACACAAAGGTCAAGTGTGTGGTGGTGGCTGGCTTATGAATGCATTGCCTGGGCATGCTAACAGTGGTCAGGATGAAAGAAAAAGGGTACGGGCTGGTCAGGAGTTTAAAAAAAAAAACAAAAAGGTAGTTTCAGTCATTAACTACACAAAAAATGGCAACAAAGTAATTCAACTATTTTAATCACTATGTAAATGTGCAATTAGCTAGCAAGCTAATGCAAAATGTAGTTAAACTACTAATTTAATTACATGTAATTCCTTACTCCCAAGCACCATTACCAGTGCAGGAATATCAAGTTAGTGTAGGTAGAGATTAAAATGTAGCAGCAGTTAAACATATCAGTCTAATATGGAACATCTACGATTATGCTGAAAGAAGTTAACGTTTGTAAATATAAACTAGTAGTTTCTATTAGGTTTGTGTGTAACACACCAATGGATGATCTCTGCTCACTGGAAATGGCTTTGGTAGAGTTTTACCTGTGGAGCTTTGTGTCATGTTCCTTGTACTTTCTACTGAAAATCTTGAGCAATGATTCATCTTCATAAAAGAAGACATGCAGACTTTTTGGGTCTCTGTCTTCTCCATGCCCCCCTCGAGAAGCCTTCCCCTTCCTATCCTATGATGTAATGAGTGGGAAGGAAGATGCGCAGCTTCCATCTCAACCCCCCTGTCTAAAGTTAGCTATGTCAGCTAAACTCACCCCATAACCACCAGCCAACAGCCCTATTCAATTACTGATGGCGTGCCAGATTTTACTCCAGGGTACTAGAGGAGGCCGGCCAGATGCCAGACTATGCTGTGTGTTTGTGTGTGCACATGTGATTTTCACACATTTTTGTCAAAGTATGCCTCTACATGTATAAAGACATAGACAGAGAGACACTCACTGATACTGTGCATCTGTGTGCTTGCTTTCCCATCACTGTCTGGCCACAAGAGCTCACCAGCTTACCCATACATACAGTTCACACATGTGTGCATCTGTCAAGAAGTAGAGTAACTCAATACCAGGCCACCAGGCCAGCCATATTAACCTAGCACTTCCCAGCCTCTGGGGACACACGTATCGGTCAGAACGACAGAGGTTTCTGTTTCTGGGCAGATGAGTGGGGAGGGAAGGAGAGTTTATTCCCAAGTGAATGTGGACTAAAATAAGAAGTATAGTAGTGTAAATTAACCTTATTCTGTCTTAATTTAAGTGAGGATATGCATGTTTTGCTTTAGAAATAAAGAGTCAGTGGAGGAAAGAAAGAGAGAGAAATGAGATAGAGAAGGGGAAGTTCACGTTTTTAATACAGGTGAGCAGCTCCGGATGTAATAAATTGTGGGGATAGAACCTACTGTACAGTAAAGCACCAATTATATCCTCGCTACAGGAACAGATGTACTTCACACCAAAGTCATTCTGAAAGGAAATTGCACAGATCAAACTGATCTTGTTCCAGTTTTCTTGTCTCTCCTGTGAGAATTGGTTAACTTTCAAAATTTTGGTGACACAGTCTCCAGAGGGATGTACTGAGTGTTTCATATGATTCAAGATGAAGAAATTAGGTCCAAAAATAAACGGGAAAATAGTATGAGGAAGGCAACAGCAAGAAGACAGCACATGGCATGAGAGAGGGCAGAAAGAGAACCAGGAAGCAACACTCCCTCCTGGTGTCTGCACTGAAACACACACACACACTTACCAATGTGACTATGGCACACTCAGCGGTGAGCTGTGCGGCGCTGAACAGCGTCCTGACAAAGCGGTAGATCTGTTTCTGCTCTGGGTCGTGTTTATCGTAATCAGGAGGAATCTCCAACTTCTAAAACAGAAGATAACAAACAAAATGAAAATGAACATTTGATCTGATTGCTAACCAAAATGGAAATACAAGCTGCTTGCAAACGCTTTGGCTTACAAATGAGCATTCATTTTGAATAGAGTTTGTAGGTTGGAGCATCAAGCAAAGTGGTCATGTAGATTTTTGGATCAAAACCCTGCAATTGTCGTGCAAAAAAAATTGAACTGAAAATACATGATCCAGATGGCTACTGAGATTACTTGACAGATTTCCCCCATATTTGATCCATGTGGGCTTATTTACTGATTATACATCAGCTTGTGTGGTTTGTCTTGCTGATGAATCCTGACAGCTCTACAGCTCACGCATAATGGAAATGTATCTTCAGTTAAGGCCTTACCGAGAGCGGATGCAGCTTCTCATCAAAAATATCTAACAACATTCTTCCGTCGACGTCTCTGGAATGACAAACGGATAGGAAGAACATCAGAATATGACAGAAAAAAAAAACAGATGGCATGAGACTCATTTCATTTCAAACATGACTTCATCCTCTAAGATATTGCCTGTTCAATAAGACATTCATGGGCATTCATGTGCATGTCAAACAGCTGCCCTATATAGGATTCCTAAAAGTTACAGACGCATAAAAATTCATTCTTTGAGCATCTCTTACTCTTTTCAGTCAGATTCACCAAATCGATTCAGAATGAAGTTGATATTTATTAAGAATTAAGTCAAATGGCTATATACATAACTTGTTTGACAGGTCTGAAAAACTTTCATGAATTGTACGTATAAGAAAATCTCTGAAATACCTGGAATGAGCCACTTAAGAATAAATCTGATCATTCGAGTGATTCTTACATGAGACCTGAGACCCGTCTTTACACACCTCAACAAGAGATTTCTTTGCAGAATGATGCCCAGGGCACTCAGGCTTCATGTTGAGTCAGCCATTAGACAAAATGTCACGGGAACTACAGAGCTCGACATTTCAACACAAGCCTTGGGGGCCAAGTGATGACTTTTTGCCTGCTAATATTTAACTTTGTCTGCTAATCCTTGAAGTTGATATTTGATGTAGGACTGGAATTTAGGAGTAGATAAGGGAAAAAATTAAAATATTCACCATACCTGTTCTTTATGTGGTAGAATATTGCGAGGGATACGCTGTAAAGACAAAAAAAGTACATAAAATATTTCAAACTAAAAGGACAAAGAGCCAAAACATTTCACCTCAGTGTGAGATTAAATATCAGATAGAGAGGTTAACAGTGAGGTGTAGTTACCATTTGATGGTGTATTTGAGGTTGGGCTGACTGACAGTGCTGTCATCAAGAAATATGGTGGAACATGAGCTGTACTTCCGTCTCACTGGGCCTGGATGATGCTGGGGTTCACACACACACAAAGAGACACATACAAACAGACAGACACACACGTACACGTCAATCTCTATTTCTGTCATACTCAGACCAGCCAAAAGGCCTGCTGACAGCCATGGAAAGTAGGGCACCTGTAAGCCCACAAACTAATTCTGTCTGTCCTCTGTCAGTGCCTGACATGGTCGCATGCGGGGGATGGCATTTATGGTGGAGTGCATCTTCAAAGAAGCCCCAAACTTCCACTTAGTGAGAAACTTATTTTTTGTCATTTTCTCCTGGCACCTACTTCATCAGATTTGACCAATTCTGGCACTTGGGGTTGAGAGATGAGTGAAGGACAAAGATGAACTACATCATAGTGTGATGAAATTGTTGCTACTACTACGATTACTACTACGTCTAAATGATGACATTCAAATTCATCTTTTAGCTCATTACACACACACACGACTTTGACTATAAGTGGAATCTGTGGGGTTTGAAGAGAGAAGGACAATGATAAAAGGGTTGAATTATTTTAAGGGTCACTTTGAGGACTTTACCTTGTTCTCCGAAATGTGTGTGAACTTGCAAAAAATACAAGACATAAAAATCACCACTTGCATAATTATAATATTCATAATAATGTATAACTGACAACTAAATGGTAAGATCCACTGCTGCCTTTTTAATGTATTATACACAACATCATTTATCGTACTTACATGGTTGATGTAAAGGCTCTTCCGTTTTTCTCGAACTGAAAGGGAAGATGAGAGAACAGGTGTCAGTTCTGTCAGGCAGCAACATGCGCTTTAAGCTCAGTGTAGTACACCACCCTCACAGACAGGGAGCAGCATTTATCCAGGGTTTATAAGTTCCCTATCATTACAGAATTTGAGAAAACTATTGGATGAGCAGCTTTTTGTCTCTAATTATTCCACACTACATTAAACAAAGCATCTTTAATATGAAAAAAAGAACATTTCAAAGCCTGTAAACAGCTTTCCTCCCCTGATACATTGGAAATTGTGGTCTAATGTGTGGGAATGAGTGTGATCAAATGACTTAATCCATTCATCAATCCATTCATTTTGGCCTACATTGGTCCAAATTAAATCAAGCACAGTGAGTTTTATTCAAGAGGAGATTGTCATTTGAGCTGTTCTCATTTTTGTTCTCTTCATACAATACTGCTCATTTGCAATGCTAATTCTGCTTAGTGGAGGTGATGATTTGTTAGTTCTATAGAGCTCACTTCACATGATATAAAACACACACTAAATACACAGCTGTGTGCCAGCGCTGTGTCTATATATGTGCATGTGTTCGCTCTGATGCAGAAGAACACACAAGGGGGAAAAAGATCGCTGGCAAAGCAAACTGGAGCAGATGCAGAGCACAGCATCACACACACACACACACACACACACACACACAGTGACGTAGTGAAGTGTCTGGCGCCTCTCATCCCTGAACTGTCTGTCTCTCACCTCTCTGACACACACACACACACTCTCTCACTCTAATGCACATGTTTCTCTGGGCAGTCGTGACTGTGTGTGCTGCTTTCTAGCAAAAAGCAGCCGGCTCTCATGTCTTAATTACGGCTGCATGTTTTAGTTCACAATCCTGACTGCAGTGATTTATGAATTGATTTCTGAAAAAAAAAAAAACCATCAACACTGACACATTAAATATTCTTCTAAACAACATGTTGGTTGAATCCTAACTTTTGTTTCATTCACACCTCCCCTGTAGAAAAGTTACTTAAGCGGTCCTGACGAGGAAAATGTGTTAATAGTGATCAAAACTCAGCTATATTAATATTGATGCATCCTATAGACCGACATGCACATGGGCACAGACGCACAAACACATAATGAAATCAGCAGCTCAGCAGTGAAGGCACGTCATCTGCTAACAAAAGACGATACAGATCAAGTACAACGAAAAGGTCAAGCCCAAACACACAGTAAGCATAATTGCCACCTGCCTACTGAGACCAGACACATACATGCTTACCTCTCTTGTTGGGCACAGCAACTGAAAAAACACAAAGTCCAAGTTGTCTCTATGTTTAGGACACTGATACACAATGGGCTACATAGAGATTGGATTGTTAAAAATGGCCCATTGCGTGACGTCTTGTATTGGTATTTATGTACAATATGTTGAGGAAACAGGCCAGCAGTGATTCACACAAGAGCTTGATATGGCTAATAACACATCAGCCCCTAATATCAGGTCAATATATTAGGCTCCAGGCAGCAAGCTCTTCAGCTCAACCAGCTTTTTCTCCAGTGTGTGCAAATGGAATAATAAGCCTCTTATCATCAAAGTAAAGAGATTATGGCTAAACTGAAACATAATTTCAGAAACCAACTTCATCACATTGCAGTTGATTAAAATGCATTACTGTCACTCTGAAGGGTCCAGGCTGCTACAGGATCAGTCTCTGCCTGATGGAGATGATCAAAACACCCCACTGTGTCTCAGAAAATCTGACATAAAGGGAGCGGGTATAAAAGTTGTTTTTTGTTTGTGTTTTTACAAGAGCCTGCCTGGAGACTTTATGGTGGATAAAAGGATGTTGATCAACATAACAATTTTTTGTGTAGCTCCACATTTGAAATCCCTGCATCAATGAAACTGCTTGTTTCCCCACAAAGCAAGTGGCATATGCCACCATTTGACTTGCATGAGTCTGAAACATAAAGATACTTTTGAAGTTAGTTATGCAGGCCTAATGTGCAATCTGCCACACATGTCACGCTGCTCTTTGAACGACTTCTCTCAGCAGGCGCCACGTTTTTGAAGATCAATGGCAATCGCTAAAAAAAATACAGTCGACGTGAATGGTCAACGGCACAATGAGTATTTCAGGGCCACAAAAGGAAGTGAGGATTGCTGGGAACAGGGGCCCTGAGGGAGTTGGGGGGGTTGTAAAGTGGAGAGAAAAGTTAATAAAAAATACAATAAAGATCTTTGATGGAACCAACTGAACATAGTCTGTGCCTTCTAGAGAGGTCTACATTACTAAAGGATTCATGACTTTACTTTTTTTGTTATTTCAATTCTTTAAAACTGAACAACACATTCTTCAGACTAGTCATCATATGGAATGCATGTACTGGTCCTGCAGCCATCCTGCTGTGGATCACACTTCTACTAGCAAGAATCTTGTGTTTATGTGAGATTCTAGGGTCAAAAAAGCCCTCACAATAACACAACACAGCATCACTTTGCCTCACATTCCATCTACCTCATCTAAGCAGGCCTTGTGTAAGCCTAATACAATCATGGCCCCAGACGCATTTAACATGGCTCTTGCAGACACCTTGCAAGTTTTCAACGCACTCACCAACAATCCCTATAAATTGTTTGGCCCCAATTTACTGTGGACTGTTGCCACTCCTGACACTGTCTCAGATACTGTCCTGAAACAAACCTGATTATAAGGTAGTGATACGTTTGCAAGCCAAGGAGGTAATGCTCACCGTCAGTCTGTGACTTGCTGAGGAAGATGGTGCTGGCCCGGGGATGATCTGAGGGATTGTACTCCATGGGCAGATCTGAAAAAAGGAGGAAAAAGAACATTAGTCTTACAGGCAGCATTCAAATTACAGCTCTGTTGACTGATTTGTATACAATTTGAAAAACATGCACACAACAATTTCCCTTTAAATTCAGTAGCTGGACAAGATCGACAAATTAATATTCACAATATACAGCAATCATCAGTCTAGGAACAGTAAGCAATGAACACAAGGCTGGGATGTTTTACCGGAACAACTACAACAGACTGAAACCTTTCATTTTGAGGTTAAATGTGTGGGACTGGCTTTAGGGGTTAACCACCTCTCTTGTAATGGACTGAACCGAATGGAAAAACAATCTGTCAAACGACAGTTTGCTGCACCAGCGCTGTGTAAACGGTGGTTTGTAAATCGATGTGCTAAGCAAACACAGCAGAAAGGTATAGATTTGTCTTAGATCACTGTCTGTACACACATACCACCTAGGATAAGCCACCACATAGGACAGTAGCTGGCAATATGGAAACGGCAATAAATCACAACAAAGAGATATCTGAGCATCCAATGAGCTGACGATCTCTGACAGCAGAGTTGTATAACATCTTATCTTATGAGTGTGACAGTGACTGCTGCAGGTACAGCTCTCTGCCACCAGGCGCTCTCTGTCACAAGGTGGCAAGCTCAGACTAATGTCCTCATGACTGAATTGAACATGAAAACACGTGTGAACATAGGACCTTTATGAGCAAATTTAAGAGGATAGGATTTAAAATTCTGTGTTAGCCTGCATTTAATCCTAATTAAGGATTTCATTTTTTTAATTTACTTAATAAAAAAAAAAATTAACATCTACTTTCTAAAGACAATACACACCCAATGCATTTTCAGATTAAAACTCCTTAGATTAATTCACGATTGTTACATGTCTCAATTCTTGTAAAAGCCATTTGTGATCTTTACATTAGTATCACGATATTTTGTTTTGGGATACTGCATTGATTCTCAAAAACACTGTATAGATTTTTGTGTTTAAACTTCCAACTGTCAGATAGCAGTGTTGTAAATGTAAAAAATATTATATAATACCATCCTTACAGTGTTGCAATATACTGAATTAAACCCCCTGTATTGTGATGCACCATATTGATTAACACCGGATTATTGCCAATATCCTGTCCTACAAAGAGTGTTTTAGTAATGCAAAAATGTATCTTTTCTTCTTTATTAATGAATCTATTGCCTATTTGTTTAATTGATTGATGAATGGTTTAGCCTATAAAATAATTTTTTTTTTAAAAGGTGAAATGTCCCTCCCATGTTCCCAGAGCCAAAAATACACACTTATTTAAAAGATTACCTTTCAGCTTTTAATTTTCGCTGTTAACAGTCAATCTCACCCTGTGAGATGTGTATGTGTCAAACCAGCACCAGCTACAGACACTGTCGCCTGGCAGATGGCTGCTATGTAAAATCACTGAATGTATCAGTTTCAATTTTGTGTCCTAGTTCTTTGCCCTGATTAAATCCCACAGGCAGAAACATTTGTTTTTATTGTTAAATTATAAACAAGAAATTTGCAAAGAAGGGTCGAGATTTATTCTAAGCCTGCAGCCCATGTGTTCAGAGCTTTTGGCTGTTGAAACAGAGAACCACTTTTGTTTGAACAGTGGATCGGTATTACAGCTCCAAGGTCGCTTGGATTTTATGGTAGCCTGGTGAGTTGATTTAATATCCTGAACATTGATCATTATCATATTCCGGTCTAGGTTAATCATGAACTACAACTAAAATACTTACTCCTAAAATCTCAAAACAGGCAAAGAAACTAAACTAAAACATAACGCACACACAAAACAGTGCGGGGTGGTGACCCCATTAGCAGCTTCCTTTTTTTCTTGGATGATGTCAGTGAAACAGGAAGGGTCAGATGGGACCAACACCCAGACAGACTAATAGAGCGACAGAGAAACAGATGCCGAGAGACAGAGCGACAGAAGAAGAGTGACAGGCCGATAATGAGAGAGAAAAGGGCGAAGAGGACAACAGAGCAGAAAATGAAGCGAAGGGAGTGACAGATCTGAAACATGATTGACAGGGAGAGAGGACAGCAGGGGCAGGGAGAAAAATGAAAAAAGAAAATTGAGATAGCAGGGAGGATATCAGAAAGGAAAATAAGAGATGAGAGCAAAGGTGAGGAGAAATTGCGGGGATAGAGAAGTAGAAAAGGTCAGTTTGCAACAGATTCAAAATGAAACCTTGTGGACATGAGCACGGTCGTAGTAAAACTTTAGTTAAATCTTCCATTAAAAGACACTGTGTAATGAGAGCATACCTCAGATCACAGACCTCTTTCACTACACTGAAGGTTACACATGCAAGCCATTGCTATTGTGTCCAAAATCTTTTGAACTACTGTCTTTTTGTGTTTGAGAGCCACTTGAAGAGCCTCAAAGGACACACAACACAACAACACACACACATACAAACACAGACATGATGTAGGAGGACCTGCCACACGGTGCTGAATAAAAGATGGGTGTGTGGGAAGAAGCAAAGAGCAGTGAAGGAGAACTAAAGGTGGATTAATGATGCTGCACACTGTTCAGCTGTTACTGACGTATACANNATTTGCACGGATATCATTTAGAAAAGTCGTTTTTCCTGGTGATGTCACATTTTTAACACAGGAAGCTGACTGCCCACAGACCCAGGGAGTGTCCCTCTGGGTGGCTGGTGTCAGTGACCTTTGGTGCAGTTCCACCCTCCCCAGTTTTCTCCCTTTCTCCAACCTGGGGTAGACGAAAGCACCCAACTTCCTGCGTTTCAGGAAGCGGAGCGGAAATGAAGTAGGGGGTTGGCGGTCACACATTGTTAGGGAGGTGAGCTGAACAAAGAGTGGAGGGAATAGCGTGTGGATTTAAGCCAGGCGTGTTTTAAGTTCTACCATTTACACTCACATGAACACACAAAATGAAGATGACACTAAAGCAGCCATAACTCATTGGCCTTCTCTGGTCTTCACTGTTCCATTCATAGCAAAAGAGATCCATCACCTGGGCATTGTCTCGTCAGCAACAGTTGTGTAAGACTGCACAATCATACAATCATTAATGGAGGGTCGGGGTTGGGCTGTATGATGAAATACAGCATGAGATGATACACATTTATCAACCATCAGAGATTCATACTTAGGTCGCTTACTGTTAATATATCTAGTTGTATTACGCTGTTGTGGGAATCAATGAGCAGGACTGCAAATATATTTCTATGATTTATGCCTCAGTGTGATGAAATACTGTGATTTGTTAGGTATGTAATTTGCTGAATTAATTCCACTCTGGTCATTTTATCCACAGACAGTATTGGCTGATTTTCAAGAACATTTACTATATCACAATGTAAAATTACATCAAGCATGCTGAAGGATTGTATCCATATGCCCACTCCTCATAGAAGGGTTGCCTTCATTAACATGTATTTATAAAAAAGGTACATTGGGCCATTGTACAAATGTATTGGCTAACCACCGTTAAACAGGTGAGAGGAAAAACAGCTGTATTTGCAAATTTAACTGCAGAATACAGTTATACGGTGATTTGCAGAGGCTCCAAACAATACTAACTCCGGGGAAGATGAGGACACAGCAGGGACAGACCGGGACAGGAGAGGAGAGGCATGAAGCGGATGTGAGGGAGGTGGGGCATCAGAGAGGCAGCGACAGCACATAGAGCCAGAACTCTGTTAGATCATTAGACACCAGAGTTGGTGATTGTTGGAACAGTGTAAAGACTAACTAAGATGGTTTGGTCAGTTTCATTTTGTTTCTGTCGGGTTCGAATGAAGGAAGGGGGGATGGGGGGTGCTCGCACAACACACACGTACAATTATATTACACACAAGTTTTTTTGAATATATTTTTTTGTGTTACAAATAGTTACCATTTTTATTATGAATTCATGAATTTATTTATTGTTGTACAAGACTAACTCCTGTACTGTACATTTGTTTGTAAATTTTATGCTCAACTTTGGTCACAACCAGTTGTCAGCTCAACTGTGAATTACATTTCATACTGCATATAAATAAAAACAGTACATCCCTGCTCAGTCTTCTCCAAGAGGTTATACATATTGAAAGTTCATTCAAACACTTGCCTCCATTGAAGATTAAATAAAAAAAAAACCCTGAAACATGCACCTGAGCCAGCTGCAACCACCTGCAGCACAAGAGGAAAGTGATTCCTTTCATATTGCTGATACACTGTGAACAGGAATATCTGCATTAGTGTGGTTAGCGGTTAGCTGGCACTGGGCCTGCCTGCCCTCTGAGCCTGTCATGAGGGTGGCTTTGGGTTGCAACATCAGCCCAGACAGGAAGGCCCTTTGCCGGTTTTTGGCTGCCCTGCTGAGGTGCCAGCCTGAGGGGATCCAGATGGCGCAGCACGGCACTGCCCGGCTGTCAACAGCACGCTATCAAACAGTACGCCCACATGGTGGAGATAAGAAGCACACAGCACATCTTGTCATGGAGTGTTTGAGAAAAGAGCACACGATGTAGCTGCTGCTTGAAAATAGATTTGTTAAAAGGAACACAGTGTTTGCATGGTTGTAGTTAATGTGACACTGGATACTATTTTTGTAACTTCAATTCAGACTGTTTTGTTGCTGTTTGAAATGATGCAGTCTGGTTCAACCACTGATGTGTCCTGATTTGGGATCTTGAAATCATTTAACCTAAGCAGTCTCGGGCTAAACCCTTCTTGGAGATCAGTATTTTACAGAATGCTTCTTGTGAAGGTGTTAGTGTAATCTACGGTTTGTAAAGCAAACGGGGCAAAGCAAGCCGCTCACCTTGAACCTCATCCATCTGCTTACTGTTGTAAAACAGCCTCTAGAGTGCTGTTTGGAGCAGCAAAGCAAAGCAGTTTTCAGTTTGACACTTATCACAGCGCAAATTTTAAGACTGCTGCAGCCCTGATAACACTGCTGAGTAAGTGTGTGTGTGTGCCTTCCAATGTGAGAAAGAAGGAAAGTGAG